CCAGGCGTCAAACCTAGGGCTTCCAAATGCTAAGCAAGCGTTAGTCCAACTGAGCCGCAGCCCCAGCCCCTGACCCAGGGGCGTTTTCTAAAATGCCACACTTTAAAGACTGAAATTTGTATTTTATGTGCAGTAATACAAAAATATCCTTGAGTTGAAAGGATTAAGAATGCTGTTTTTAAAAGGGATTTATACTAGACAAGTAATATGGTTTCATATCAGGCGATGTAGTTAACTGTGAGGAAAATATTAAATAGATTGAGAGCATGTTGGGTTTCTGGACATTGGAACTTGTAAAATACCACCATTGTCCCCCAGGTGGCAGAGTTTCTGCTGTCATGGAATCCTCTGATGGAATTTCTTTCCTCCACAATCTGAGGAGGTGCCTTCTACATGAGAGTAACTGGCATTGATTAAATTGTTACAGCTGGCCAGGCTGACCCTAGAACAGTGTGTTCACTAATGATCCTATTCAACATGAAAGCCCAAGGCAGAGCTTTCTCCAAGGAGCAAATAAAGCTAGTCATCTGTAAGGTCCTTTCCGAGTCACTGAGGCTTGGGTCACCATGACATACTGTTTTTGATTTCTTCCTTTAGTTGATGGATAGCTTGTCATTTTTTAGGAATGGTAAAGATGCCTTTGTTTTTCAAAAGACATACAGACCATAAATTGTAGAAATAGTGATCACAAAACATTTTTTCATGTTCAACTCTTTCAGGTACATGATGTTAACTTTCCAGAAGTTCCTGGTTTGTGGGAACAGCGGCTTTTAGTAAACAGGAAAGGTTGACCTGAAAAGTTAGTGTTATGTGAATTGAGCATGTGGAGGGCAGAGAGTAACTTACAGGAGCTGCTTCTTTCCTTGCACTGTGTGGTCCTGGGACTGAGCTCGGGTTGCTAGGTCTGGTGGCAGATGTGTTCCCTACTGAGCCAGCCCACCAGCCCCATTACTGTACCGGCACTAACTGGGAAGGCACAGCCCTTGTTTCTCACTTCTAGGGTTATCTATTGTTTATTTTCCAAAGTGTTTTTATGATTGCACTGAGTACATAAGATGCCTGCTAACCCCCATCTTCCTTATGTATTAGTGGTGGAGGATGTGAGTGTGTTAAGGTCAGGGGACAATGTGGACAGCATCGTAGAATCTGTCCTTTCCACCTTTGCACGAGTTCTGGGGACTAAACTCAGGTGAGCAGCTTCTAGAGCCAGCACCTTTGTCCTCTGAAGCATTGTGCCGGCCTCATCTGTATTAATTATCCATTTTCTTCTCACATACGAGATCAGCTCGCCTACAATCCCACACTTCTTAGAGACTTTGCCTTAGTGATGATGTAGTTTGATATGAATTGCTAAAATTGTAGAGCACATATTTTCGAAATGGAACAGTGAAATGATGTTGAAAATCCACTGCTTATGCAAAGGCAAGGCCTGGGGACATGGAGTGTCACGTGGCCCCTGTAACTGGAAAAGGTGAAAGCCGGAGCCATTCCTACAGACGGATGTTTGAGAGTGGGTGGCTTCCTCCTCACGGGGCATCTGGGACAGCCTTGTGACACCCTGCCTCCTTGCGCTGATGCATTTACAGATTGCATCCTCTTCCCAGAATGCTTGAGTTTGTATGATAAATGTGTGATTAATTTCATTAATTGGAACTTCATTGTCTACAAGTTCTCGAACTTTTCTGAGTTGAAGCAATCACTGAGTTGTGGTCAGGACTCTGAGAGCCATCTATCTAGTCATGCTTCCACAAATGCTTATTAACATATACTTTTACTTCTTAAGACACTTATTTACCAGTTTTTCCACCAGTCATAAAAGCCACAAAGAGATTTTCTTTTTATGTGATTACTGCTGTCCTATGCTTTCTGCTTTATTTTCATGTCTTTAAATTGCAGAGTGAGGCAGTAGAATGGCAGAGTTGCATGAAATATTGTCTAGTGATTTTGCTAGTAGAATTGTACATATTTGGAATTTCACAGTCTGAAGCTCCCTGAGGTGAAGGATGACAAATTCATCTGCAACTTATGTATCTTGAAAATGCTTCCATGTGGGCTCTGTGGAGATGGCTCAGTCAGTAAAGTTCTTGCCTTGCAAGCAAGAGGACCTAAGTTTGATCCCCTTAAGCCCACATTAAGAAAAAAAAATAGTCCTTCATGGTAGATGTGTTTATAATCTGTGCACTGCAGATGTGGAGGCGGAGGATCCCTGGGGCTCACTGGCCAGTCAGCCTAACCTATTGTACAGTGAGTTCAAGGCCAGTCACATACCCAGTCTCCAGAAAGGGTGGGTAGAGCCTAAGGGATGACACCAGAGGCTGTCCTCTGACTTCTACACACAAGCCCCCAGTACGCACATGTATCACCTATCAGCTTGGGCATAGTTCATCAAGAGTGCAGGTACCCGGTAACTGGGGCTGTCTCCCTCTCCAGCCTTCTCTAACGTTTAGCTATGCCTTTAGTTTCTTGACTCTAGTGAAATCCATTCACTAAGACAACAGTTAGCAAGTGGCGTAAGCACACAATGTGAATCCCGAGATGTAGGGCCAGCAGCAGAATTCCCACTCCTGCTTCTATTATATACCACCTGTGTGGTCCATGGAGACACTAGACAGAGCCAGGGCACTGCGGATGAGCAAAGTATTGGGGCCAGACAGAAATTAAAATGAAAGAAGAGAAGGCACATGACAGAGAATAGGGTTAGGGTCATCATAAGTTCATCTGGTAGAACACAAATGGGAATGTGTGTGTGTGTGTGTGTGTGTGTGTGTGTGTGTGTGTAGGCCAGAGATTGGTGTCAGATGTTTTCTATAACACACCCCCCACTCGCCATTTTATTTTTTAAGCTAGGGTTGTTCACTGCACCTGAAGCTCTCTGCCGGCCAGCAAGCCCCAGGGAGCCTTCTGTCTTGTCTCCCCATGATGCTGCTACACATGCACCTTGCAGCATACAGCTTTTATGTCGGTGCTGGGAATCCAGCTAAGGTCCTCAAGCTTGTAAGGACTTTACTGACTGAGCCTCTTGACTCCTTTTATTATTTTATGTTTCTACAGAGAACTCGTTAGGCCACGGTTAAACTTGTTTATTAAGAGGTACATAGATCCTGGGGGGTGGGGGGACTAATACAGATCAAGCATTGTTTTTAAATTGTGGAATCAAAGATTAACTCATAGAGCGGTAATATGGCTGTGGGGGTAAAGGCATGGTGACCTGAGTTCCATTCCCAGAATCCAAATGGTAGAAGGAAAATAACACAGTAGGAGAGTTATGTTTTGACCTCCACAGGTGTGCCATGCATGCATACACACACAAATATGTGTAAAGACAGAAGAGGTGTGACATCCATGCACACACATAACTGTAAAGATAAAAGTTACAGGTAAGAATGGAAAAGGATTATTCTTACACTTATTGTCACAGTTTGATAATTTTTAAAAAATGTTTTGCAACTTCACATATTCCCCCCAACTGCCTGTTTTGGTTTTCTGATGCTGGAAGGCATTGGGAAAGCTTTCAGGATAATTATTTCCTCTTGTTTTGGTGAGAAGAGACCCCAGGTCGGACTGTTGCTATGGCACGAGAGACGGACTCCAGGACAGGCACGAGCAGCTTTGTTTTGTAGGCATCCACATCACTGACGTGAATAACAGACCCATTAGTGACTAGTCAGGGCTGCGGCTTGAAACAGCTGCTTCCTCACCCCTCAACCTCTCTGCCTAGAAGCCAAACCTTTAATGTCGAATGCCTAACTGAACTCCGATACCGAGTTTGTATTCCATCAAAAGTGTGGTTTTAGCTGTTCAGTCTACAATTACAGAGGGGCAAAATGCCATAAAACAAGGTGTGTGCATGTCCATAAAGCAGATTCATACAGTTCTTTTCCTGACCCATTCTTTGGTTCTTCCTGATGAAGAATGGAGACCATAGATGTGCCTGACAGTGACCCCTGGCTGCCCTGGATAAGGCAGCTAAAGTCTAATGAACAGACACCAGGCTCCATCTTCGCTGTTAACACTCTCTAAGCCTCGTATAACGACTCCCCCTTATAGTCTTGTGCATGCATCCCCTTCCCACAGGCCCTGAAATGAGCAGAGCCTCTGAGTAATTCAGGTTCACAAGCCACAGTGACAGGAACTTGTGGAGTGCTCCTCCTGAGCACCGAGGGTGTCGCGATGCTATACACAGTGTGCTCTTACCAGACAGCCCATGGAACCCCGAGTACACACCAGCCTTAATAGATGTCTGTGGGGATACAGAGGCCTTAGAGCTGCTAAGACGGGATTCATTTGTGGAGACCAGCACAGCTCTTGAGAACGGCTCTGCCGTGAGGCAGAAAGGGTTCCTTTTCTGCTGCTGACTTGGGTCACTATGCTTCATCAGCCCAGAAGGTGTCTGTCACCTCCTGGGCTCTGGGGAAACTTAAGGAGCCTCTTAGGAAGAGGTCCTGTCTCAGGCCTACGGGATATAGAGCTGTAAGTGCTCAGCCAACTGCCATGCACAAGAGTGTGGGTATTGATGGTAGAGGGTTCATGTCTCTGTGAATGGGTACATGTTAATACAGGTACTTGCTGCTGCTCTGCCCATGCCCTTGTCCTGATCCACCCATCCGAAGATGCACCTCCACCTGCTTCCCTGGTCAGTGTCAGCATGTGGTGAGCTGCTCTCTGGCTTCAGGGAAGGCCCTACCTAGGTGCTCAGCAGATTATCTTGGCAGCACCCCCAACAAACCGCTGCATTCCAAAGTGCCATTGACCCTAGGTAGCTCTAGCTCCCACGCCCCCAAACCACTGCATTCCAAAATGACATTGGCCCTCGGTACCTCTGTAGCCCTAGCTCGCACCCCTGTCCTCTCTGTGCAGCCAGATTAAGAAGCGACTCACAGAATGACTCCGGCTGATGAAACCGTCAGCCACCCAGAAGCCCTCGATCGGCTCAGCCTCAGGTTACAGGGTCATAGATGGCTGTCTAACTCCGACCAACTGTTCCCATCTGAAGCTGACCTGGAAGAAAGAAGCCTGCCAATGATGGTGGTTTTTATATAGTTTTCAGAATCATTTAGGTGCATATTGGAACAATTCATTCATTCCAGGGTGTTACAGGGTCAGTGGAGTCGAGGAATTTTGTGGTCAAGGTGGGTGGGCAGGTGATAAGAGAGGAACTTTTCCCCAGGATTCTTAGAACATAGACGGTGACAGTGGGAATCTTGGTTCTGTAAGAGGGCAGTAGACTATTCTGCAGCACCCACACTGACTGGACCTCGGAATCCCTGTTTGTCAGATGTTCTGGGACTGGTGTTTCTTTGAATTGCATAGTGGGAGAGAACTCAGGCAACGGGCCTTCCCTGCAATGTCCAGGCCCACCACTTCCTGTTCTCTGCTTTAACAAATGTCACTTCCTCTGGCCTCTGTCCCCTTGTCTGTGGCATATAAATAATACACTTCATTGCTGTATGTAATGTATGCCAGCTATCATTACTGCTTATCCAGTTCCCTTTATTAATAATGTAGGCCCCTCCCACACACATCTCCTGCATACATCCCTAAAGGCTTGGGTTGTTTTGAACTAGGAAATGACTGAACCAGGAAATGATACAGAGATCTTGACTTTGGGGGAATGATCAACAGTTTCCAGTTTAAATTATCTGTCTAGTCAGTGTGGCCGCAGAGTCATTGCTAAAATTGAAATGTTGACTTTAACTAAAGGTGAAAAGAAGGAACAATGGCAAGAATGATTCCGGTCTCCGTCTAGTTTGGACAGGTTGGTGTAGAAAATGTCAGGCTAGGAGCACTATGTAACAGTAGACATCAAACACTGACAATCCAGGTTTCCTAGGTGTATGCTGTGGGCAGAATGAAGACGGTAGATACTGCCTGTCTAGGAAGAAAGGAGAAAGCCATACAAGAAGTGAGAGTTCAGGCGAAGACGGCCATGATCCACTTATTCAGAGCAGTGAAACAGAGCATGCTTTGGGTGGAATAGGTGCATCTGCCTTCTGCAAGTTCACAGACAAACAAGGCTAGGATGTAAACAGACTCATAAAAATCAGGGAGGCTGCGAATGAATGAGCCCCACCGTGGAGAAACGAGGTGCTTAGCTGCCTGCCCCTCCACAGACAGCCCTCAGTGATCGCGGTGACTGCTGCAGATCTCCTTTGCCAGTCGCCCTCCTCCACGGGCCGTCCCCTTTTCCACACCCCCTCAACGGTCGAGTGCTCGTGGTCTTAGTAACAGAGGACTTCTGACTGTAATAATAGCGCGTCACTTTGTTGAAGGCAAACACGTGGTTTGGGGAGCACTTATAAATCTCTGCTCAGGGCAGGATCGTGATGTTATCTGCTGGCAGCAGAAGGTTTGCTGGGAGCGGAGCTGCCGAAGCTGCCGGCCTGAGAGCCATAGCGAGAGAGTGAGAAAACAAGCAGAGAGCTCTGAGCCTTAGGGCAGGCGACAGGGATGAGGAGCAGAAGCTTTAGTGTTTAAGGAATCGCCATTCTGGAGCAACCCGGCTGCAGAAAGGAGTAGGTATCAGCAGAGGTCTATTTTAGGGTCGCAAGTACCGTCTTACCCTAACCGAGAAAGTGCAAGCTTGCAGGAAGCCAGGAGAGGCTGGGGAAAGGGTGCGAGTCCCCGAGGCGCCCCGCAGCCAAGGCGCCCAGGAGGCGGTGTTGTTTCACAGTGGGTGAAGGAGGTGACCGATCTCTGTCGCCCGGTGGCCGCCTGGAGCAAAAGGAGGAGGATCTGCAGGACGGAGCTGGAGGCTAACCCCCTTTGCAGGCATCAGCGGCGGCTGCAACGTGGAGCGACCCAGCCGGGTGTAGGCCACAGCGCGGCCGCAGGAGCAGGATCGTCGCTGCCTGCTCCGGCCTCGGCGGAACTCCGGGACGGACAGTACCCCCACCGAGTCCCCGAGAGAGCCGCGCCGGGGCGCATCTGCCTCCCCGCGGCTCGCCAGGCTCGCCCTCGGCGCGCGTACACGCACGCGCGCGCACATCCTCACGCACACTCATCCACACACGTGTGGAAGGCAGGGCCGAGCCGCTCCGTCTTTGAACATCTCAGTTAGAGCCCGGAGCAGCCCGGCCGCCGCTCTGCGCTCCCCGCGGCCCTGCCTGCGCGCCTTCTGCCAGCCCCCGGACCTTCGTCTCTTCCCTTTTGGCTTAAGGATCCGAGTTCAGATCCGCCACTCCGCACCAGAGCCTGACACACTGAACTCCATTTCTTCCTTTTAAGTTTATTTCTACTTCAGAGCCACTCACCCCCTCCCTTCCAGGGGAAAAACCAAACCTTTCTTACTCCTTAAAGCCCCCCCCCCTTGAGCATCGCATATTAATATCTCCACGTTGGGAACGCGCTGCATTTTCTTTTTTAAAAGGAATTCCAGCCAGAGACGTTTTTCTATTGGGCATTAACTTTCGATTGCTTTGCAAAAGTTTCGCATTAAAAAACAAAACAAAACAAAACACAAAACGTTACCTGATCCGCTCTGAGAATTATTGGTTTCTTTTTATATTTTTTTCTTACTTTAAACAACAACAGCAACGTTTCCACCTTCTAAAAACATGCACTACTGTGTGCTGAGAACCTTTTTGCTCCTGCATCTGGTCCCGGTAGCGCTCAGCCTGTCTACCTGCAGCACCCTCGACATGGACCAGTTTATGCGCAAGAGGATCGAGGCCATCCGCGGGCAGATTCTGAGCAAGCTGAAGCTCACCAGCCCCCCGGAAGACTATCCTGAGCCGGACGAGGTCCCCCCGGAGGTGATTTCCATATACAACAGTACCAGGGACTTACTGCAAGAAAAGGCAAGCCGGAGGGCAGCTGCCTGCGAGCGCGAGCGGAGCGACGAAGAGTACTACGCCAAGGAGGTTTATAAAATCGACATGCCTCCCCACTTCCCCTCCGAAAGTAAGTACAGTTTCCGTGGTTTTCGCCTTTTCCATCCCCGAGTCTAAGGTTGGCCCGGAGCTCCACAGACCCACAGCAGCCCCAGGCGTTCGCCCTTTCCTTTCCAGGTCCCCAGGTCCCAATTGTCCCCTTTCCATTCTGCCCTTCGCTCCTTCCACCTCCTTTCCTGATGTAGGATAGAGATCCGCAGGTTTGCAACTTCACCTTAACGTTTTATTTTATTTTTTCTCTCTATAATCCATTTCCCCCAAACGCCCCAGTCCTTTTTTTTAAAAGGCGTTTGGATTTCTCCCTCGCCTCTGGTCCACAAACTAGGGAGTCAACCCTCTTCTGTCAAAAGGAAAGCGCTTTCCCCCATGACTTTCGGCTAGGGGGATCACGATAGATTTGTTTTCTTTGCTGGGTTGGTGTGGGGTGGGGGTGGGGATGTCCTCTAACCGGTGCACAAAGAGTTAAAAAAGTGCCTCCAAACTAGAGTTCCCAAAGGCACCCCCTTTCCATACTGACATATTTGGGGGTTCCCCAAGTCTTTGCTATTGTTTCTCACTGCCCTAAGAATGTCAGCATCACCAACACCAAACGCGCGCGCGGAGTGTTGGGGGGGGCACCGAAAACCCCTTAAATCCTCGATCTTCTGTTGCTGTCTGTAGGTGTTTTCACACCCCCTCCCCTCGCAAAATCATGTAGCCAAGTCCCCTTCTGACCTCACGTGGAGAGCAGAAAGGATAAATAGGGTTCTCACTGGCCTGAAGTAGCTTTCACTTCCCGGTCTGTTTTTCTAGCTAGCCCTCGCTAGGCTGAGAGCAGGTCGTTTTTTTCTTAGGGGCTTCTCCGGTATGTTTTTCAACCTGAACTCGTCTGCTCCAGCACTTTCTTAAGAACGGGGGGGCGGGGGGGGGACTCCTTTGCATTCTGAAGTCGAATCTAGGAAAGACAGCTGATTTTAAAAAAAAAAATTAGTATTTTTTACCCTGTTTCCCTGCGATCAGTATCCTCAAAACAGCTGGCATACAGTAGCAATGATTTATTGTGGAACTCTTTGGTGGGAAGGGAAGAAGTACCGTTAATGTGGTTTTTATTTCAGAGTTCTTTAAAACAGGGAGGGGGGGGAATTGCGATCTCAGCAGCGACAGCATTGAGTGGTTACCTGAGAGGGTTAAACACCAGGAAGAAATCCTAAAAGAAAAAATAAAAACTTCACCATCCCCGTGTTCCAAGTCCCGTCATAAACTTTTCATTGGCCGGCCCTTTCTCTCCTCCCCCTTTCATGCCCTATATCCTTGCTGGCTGCCTCTCTGCAGCCTCGGTGTCTTGCCTAAATAGATAATGCAGCCATCTTGGTAATCTTATCCCAGAAGTTAGAATTGCAGGGTGGTGCTTTTCTCTTCTAATATTTATTTTTAGTTTGACGAGCCATGCATGGCTCTTCAAACTTGCCTTGTCTTGTACTTGGTGTCCTCAGAGTGTCTGCCCATGAGTCTACCACACTCTCTCTGGTCACTTTTCTTATCCTGGAGCGTTTCTTGTTCTTTCATGGCGTAACCGACCTAGGGAACCCTGCCCAGCAGGATGATTTTATTATCATAATTATGGTCCTAACCCACTACAGTGGTGACACTTACACCCCGCCCTGTTTTTCCCCCTTGGGAAGTAAGGCTTTTATTTGGGGTGGAGCCACAGCCAGGCTAGGGAAGAGAGTTCATTGGAATTAGTCTAGAACCATTGAGGCTGTGCGAAAGGTTGAGTCAGTTAGCCTTCTCCTGCATGTGTGTGCTGATTCTACCGATATTTGGAATGATAGTCAAGTATGTTATATGGGGGCCGAATAGCTCCTCCTTCAGTGTTTACATGCAAACACTCAGATTAGCTGCCAGGATGTTTGCCAAGACTGTATTGCATAGGTGTGGAAGGACTTGCCAAGCAAGCACTTAAGTCTGATGAATGAAGGTGAGCCAAGACAGGACAACCCAGGACCACGGTCATGGGCAAATTAGAAACATTCCTGGTTTATCAGGAAGATTTGAGAGCATCATCTAAGATTAATGTGTGGATTCTCATCTTTATCCCATCTCTGAACCTCCAAATAAATGAAAACCTAAAAACTGCATACTTGCACATGTACACACACACACACTATACACACATGTGCTATCATATTTTCACAGAAAAAAATAGAGATTTAAGAAACCTGTGTTCAGTGTAGACACTTAGAAGTGGAATGTCATTTTAATAGTAGATTCAATGCAACTGTGCAGGCACTGTGGATAATTTTATAGAAAGTAGGTTAACTGACTTTCCTGGGCTAAAAAGTGCTGGGATATAGTAAGAGCTTCCAAAAAGGAAAGAAAGAAATAGAGAGAGAGAGAGAGAGAGAGAGAGAGAGAGAGAGAGAGAGAGAGAAAATAAATAAGTCATTCCATTGTATTTTTAAAGAAAAGAAAACTGAAAGTATAGCCCCGAGCAGAGCGGCTCTTATGCCAGCTTTCCTCTCTCCCTCCTCAGCACTTTCTGCCTGGCTTGGGACTGGGCTGTCGCTGTGGTGCCCGAAAGGAGGGCGTGTGCCTGTTGTGCTGTGCAGTGAATCTGAAGAGGGCCACAAGTGCACAGAGGAAGGCATGGGAAAGATCACTGCTTCTTCTTTCTTTTCCTTCCCCCCACCATCTTATTAGTGTTCAGGGAGTGACTTCAACTCAAGTATTGCAAATATGCCCTAATTATACTTGGTGACTATATATCACTACAGATGGTTGATAGCCCTTAGCGGGACATTTTATGAAGTTCAAACTCAATATTTTTAGCAATGTGGAGATTTAAAAGTGAAAATATAAGAGATATTGTATATGCCCTCAGGCATACTTTGTCTTAAATATTATCCTTGGCCAAGTGTGCTGTATAAATAAAGTAGATATTAATAGAACTGGCCAGATGCCAAGCTCCTAGTATGAATTTTAGCCAAGAATGTATTTATGGGGTATAAATAATACTATGTCAACATTTAAAGAAGGGATCTGATTAGTTTTGCATTTCTTCATATTGATCTTTTCACATTCTGTTAGTTTAAGACTCAAAGTAGAGCTGTGTTGAAGTTTACTGATTGCTTGCCCAGCAGTAGTTAGTGGATGTCAAACACTTGGACTATTCCCTTTGAAGTTCAAGATGCAGCTTTTCAGAAGATGCTGTGCAAGGCTTTAGAAATTCTAAAAAGTGACTCCATTATGTCCAAGAAGAATCTAAATTGATATTAAACCCCGTGGAAATGTGGTGGAAAAAGAAGTCAATTTCTTTCTTTCTTTCTTTCTTTCTTTCTTTCTTTCTTTCTTCCTTCTTTCTTCTTTGTCTGTTTTTATTTGTTGGTTGGTTGGTTTGTTTTAAGTTTGAGGCTTTCCTATGGCAAGGAAGCAATTCCTGAGCTATATCCCAAGCCCTGTTTTGCTAATATGGGTCTCAAGCTGGCCTTATAAACTTGTCATATAGTCTAGGATATCCTCAAACTCATGACTCTCTGGCCTCATGGTCCCTAGAGCTGGAACTACACGAGTTCACCACTTGCTTGGCTTCTCCTCTCTACTTTCTTCTCAAGAAAGCAGGCCCATGTTATGGGTCTAACTGTGGCAGCTTTGGTCCCGCCCTTTCCTCTCCCTATTCCACACTTGTTCTGCTGTGGCAACGTCTGAAAATAGCTTTCTTCCTCTGGAGGTAGGGTGCCGCTGCTGGTCTTCCATCCTATCATAATGAAGAGGGCAGCCTTATCATATACCAGAGAATTATCCAGCTTCCCATGGTGGGAAGCCACAACTCCCTGGTGGTTAGCTTGGGTACTGTTTTAAAAACAATAGCAACAATAAAATATCTTTACAATCAAAAGACATTAAAATAAAATCATCAAATAGAGAATAATCAGAATAGAATATGGATTAGGCTATGTTGTATGCCATATACTGTATGACCATAATATTGAAGCTCCTATATTAGAGACAATCAAGTTTCCCATTCATTGACCTTCAGCAACAGGGTTGGTCTCTCATTTACTAGGAATGCCAGTCACTGTCAGTCATATGCCAGTCAGCACATAAAAAAAAAAAAGAATAGAGGAATTATCTTGGATTTTTCAGTTTGTGTTAATGAAGAGTGGAATCTGTAACCTGGGCAAGCCAAGGAAGTAGGTAGCCATGTTGGCTTTTATATAGGTGGATGTAAGTATATAGTCTGGAAAATCACAGTTAGATTTCCTTTGTAACTCTTTCATAAGAAGGCTAAACATTTAGTACTAAACAATTCTCCTTTTCTGGTAGCTCAGCAATTTTCCAGGTGAAATTGTGGGATGTAGAATGACTACCAATGATGTGATGTTTTTGAGGAACGTGACTTAGTATTCAATTTATGAATCTGTCTTTCAGTGTACAGATTGCTGGTCTATTGGGCCAACTGCCCAACGAAGGGGACTATTAGCAGTAGCTTTGCTTTGAAATGTGTTCTTATCTTCTCTCCTGAAAGATTCTCTGTGTGTGTTTGTATATGAATTATGTGTCAGAGAGAAGAGGGGTTGGGGAATAAAGACTGGCTTGGACCTCTTGGCTTCCATAATGTCATTAATGCACAGCAGTCCAGACTTTAATTCCCTCCTTTTATTGCATTGTGGCCAACACTCCTAATGCCTGGTTGTGGTTACACTTGAGTTCCTCTGCATTCCCCTCCTTCAAGAGCGGACTAGGTGAGAGAAGCCTCAAATTAAAACACGGTTAAAAGCTGAAACAGGTAGGTAGTTTTTGCTGCCCCATGAGGCTGTTGCCTCTCCTGAGACCTCCATGTTTTAAAGGGGGGGGGGCTATTCCCCAAGATTAAAGAGCAAGTGTAGTCCACTTAACCACACCTCTAGGTCTCCACAGTGCCCCCCGTGGTCAAGGTGAGGAGACGCAGGTTTTGAGAGTTTTCATCTTGGAAAGATGCTGATGTAACCTCCTCAGGCACCTTCCGTGTGTGAAGATATGAAAGAATGACAA